TTCCGACCCTAAATCTATGAAACTATGAAACTATAAGCTAAGGAAGTACAGGTTGGATGAGAGAATGTTGCGGGAGACTGTATCAAAAGACTTGCTAAACTCAAAGTATACCACTAAGTCACAAAGTCACCTCACTAATGAAAATTCTTGCCATCTAGACAAGCATTTTTCCAGTTTAGCCAAAGCATGGTACATAGGCATGTGGAACTTTTATCCCCTCTCCCCAAAACACCCCTTTAGATCGACCCTACAATTCAAATACACCCAATATGTGATGAAATGCTTAAATTAGTAGACTCTTTTCTTGAGTATGGCCTTGTTTTACTTGTATCCTTTTCTTAGGATAATTGTTGTCTTCTCAACAGACAAGAAGAAAACTGTAAATTAAAACAAAGTTCTGGTCAAACTGGACAGGTACAGCAAGACAGACCATTTGCTGAATGGGAATTGATTTCTCAAGTGAAAAAAATATCAATAGGGTTCTCTCCTGTTGGGCACAAATTTTGAAACTCTCATCTGAGCAAACTATTTTTTAAGCACCGGAGTAGGGGGGGAGGTGGGAGTTGTTCCACGTGACAGGTTTTGAATGCAACAGCTTTTCCTGTGCAAGTCCTCTGGAAGGGCCTCTCTCAATATTTCCCCCTGCTATACTTATTGTATAAATACAAAGTTAACAAAAACCACCTCCACCTTTCAAAAGATGGTTTATTGTGCATGGTTCTTTTCAGTGGCTCCATTCTATCTGGCTGTTTCTCTGCTTTTAATTCCCCACTGGTGTAATCTGAGCACATTCTTTTTATAGCAGACGCGCGCGCACACACACACAATACTAATTTAGAACTGTCTGACTTTGTACCCTATATTAAAATGTTTCCCACAAGCAAAGTATTGAAAAAGTCCAGCTTTGACTGTATTCCTGATCACCCACTCAATTCAGATTTGGTAAAAAAATTGAAGTCTGCTCTGGACACCGGGAATGAGAAGACAGTGATGGATCTGATTTGTGCCGAAGTTAAGCATGTGAATGCCACCATAGAACTATCGAACGATGACTGGATGAAGGAACCTTCAGCTCAGCTGCACCCTTTGGTGCTAGTAGGTAACTGTGATGTTTCCTGTTACAAAAAATGAGGAGAGAGATATGCCTATCATAGAATGTCAGTTTCTTTTTAATTATGCGAAAAACTAGCATTCATGACAGGGAAGATGTTTGATAGATGAAGGCTTGTTTTCCAGTGAATTAGAGTTATTCCAGCAGGTTTGCCAGGCTATAAGCTGGTGCACAAAAAAAAAAAAAAAACCACAAACTTCAAGCTAAGTTAATCACACCAGTCCCACCTCTTTACTGGATTCTATGGTATGCTTGTTCGTCATGTTTAAAGCAACCAGACATTATGCAGGTATGCTGGCTCCCCCCTACATGCAGCAACTAGGTCAGAATCAAAGAGAAAATTTGGAGGGTTTTGCATTTTAAGAAACATTTCTCAGTCCTACCATGTGTTAGAATGATTTCCAAGCAGATAACATTTGTAAGGTTTACCACCGATTTCCTCCTCTGCCAGTAAAACAGAATTTGAACCAGAGTCTTTAAAAACAAAGCCAAGAACTGAATGGACCTCACTAGCCCACATTCTGGGCATGAAGCTTTTTTTTTTTTTTTTTTTGGTTGCAATCCTTGCACTCAGCTCTTCGATCATTCCGATATTGATGTGCCTCTTTTGTTTCTCTGGCTTCATGTTGCTGATCCCCAAATTCCTCCCCTAAACAGCTCAGAGTTACTTCACTTCCTTTACAGCTATGTTTTCAAACCAGGAGGATTTCATGTTGTACTGAAATGGTCACCACCAACCCCCAAAGTACTTATCATTCAACTCTTTGTTGGACTTTGAACTGGACCTTTAAAAGAAAATCTTTATACCAGACTTTAAACACTACTTCATTTTTAAAAAGTAAAGCAACCAGAAATTATACTGTATTTAAATTATACTGTATTGTATTTATGTATACAATGTGCAAGAGGAATTGTTACAACTCTGTACATCTACACGTGCAATTAATTTGTAGCAATAAACTCCTGAGCAGTTTATCCCAGAGCCGCTCCTGCCCTGCTCTGGCCCAGGCTCTGGGTGGCAGCGTCGAGCAGCAAGGGATATGAGGGTGCTGCAAGTGCAGAGCCCTGTGGCTAGGTGGCAGGTAGGAGACCCCCTGCTGCTTGGGCTGACCGGGTACAATTTTCACCTATGGTCAGCACCTACATGTGCATTTAATTGCAGTTAATTACTCCGCTATAATATAATACTGTCCCTGACAGTGTTAATTAGTCTACTGCCACCTAATAGCGTCACATGTATAGATACTTTCCTCTGCGGCTAATTAGTCTACTCTGCAATAAAGGCATGTGTAGATGCAGCCTGTATGAACAATAAATACAACAGATAGATTAGATGTCAACAGTGGTTTGTACCCATTTCTCAGAGGAAGGCAGGAAATGGAGATGAGGCCTGAGCTTGGTAGAGGATTTCTATAGCTCTCAAGACAGCCTCCAAGCCTTCTGGATTTCTGTCTACACTGCAGCTGCTACAGATGTACGGCTCTGCAACCTTAATAAAAATTCTTCATAAAAGAGAGCAAAAGGATGGGTTCTTTTTCTGGATACAAAAAGAGTGTTGCCCTGCTATTGTCTAATCTATGCAGGAGCATATTATTCTCCTATTTCTTCTGCTTTGAACAAAAAATTATATGAAATGCTTTAAAACAAGGGAGAGTCACAAGAAGGAAAGAACAGTAGGCAGACTAGCCAGGTGGAAAGAACTTAGCCTAGAAAACAATCTTTTAAATTTCTCTTTGCATTTCCCATTCAGCATTAGACACAGGAGCGGGGCACCACAGGAGCAACTAGGGAGAAAAGAAGCAGAAGCAAGTGTTGTCAGGGGTCTGGTAGAATTAATGATTTACACTAGTTCTGTGAATAAGGATGTGGAAAGGCCACTACCTGAATACCTTGTATTAAATTAGTCTTTGGACTTTGCATTAAGATAAGTTACAAAGAGGTAGATAAAGATGCACAGCCTAAAAGGATGGGCTTATGGCTAATGGACTGACCTAAGGACTCAGGAAATGTAGGTTTAATTTTCAGCTCTGCCATAGGCAGCTTTTGTGCATGTAGACAGTTTCCTAGCACCTGGTTTTCAAAGGTTTCATGAACCTTCTATAGCTGTAAGGATAAATTAACAAATACAATGCACTTAGGAACATATATTGGGGTACCCAGAGGAAGAAGACTGGGTGGTGATAACATGGAGGAATTCAAGTCCTACTCTTCTCAAATTTGAAGTCAACTGGGTTCAAAGTTTGACAATCATTTCTCTCTGTCATCCCACATCTTTAAGCAAAAAAGTAAAATCTTGTTATTTCACACTGATGACTGAAAGCGCCATGGCAGGTTACAAAATTTCATGGATTAGCAATGAGGAGAACTCATAGTTTAGTAGAGACAGGATAATGCATCATACTATATGTTATGCATTGACTTTGACAAATGAAGTTTAATTATTTATAATGCTCCATGGTGTACTGGTAAGCATTCTCTAGTGTAATTTATGAAAATAATGAAGTCTTGGTAACATGAGACTTCGCTACTGTACTGAGCTGTTGCTGAGGAGTGAAGGAGAAACTGCTGTGAGAGACCATGTTACGGCGTGTGCTAATTAGCAAACTTCTACCGTAAGCAATGGAATTTCACAAGCTACGTGGCATGAGGTCAATTTGCCATAGCTTCACACATCATTACTCACTTTACCATTTTATAACAGCACACAGGGATACAATAATAGGAAGAGTTGCAACATCTACTAAACAGAAATTTGATTTTTTTATAAGTCAGTATTCAATTCAGGTGAAATTTATATGTAGGCATTAAGGAGATGAAGTAGCAAACAAACATTTCAACTTCTTCGTTTATAATTACACAAAATGCTTTAATTTTTCTGCCTTCCTGAAAAAAAGTTTAGAAGGCTGCAGGGGAAACAGCTACACTACTATTAGAGCTTGAGGGGAATTTTCTATTGAATCAAAATGATTTAAAGTCTAAACGTGTCAGTTTTGTCAAACTGAGATTTTCTGACGGAAAACTTTCCCTCAAATTTTCTTCCCCAGCTCTACTTATCTAGTCACAAAAAAAAAAAAATAAAAAAAATATGATTAAACTATTGACTGCAACATCCATATCCCCCTCCAAAGTTTGTACCATTATTGTGTGAGGAGCTTACATTTTCCCCCTCCAGTGTATATTAGTTTGCAGGGACTGAAACTGAACTGCATTTGCCATCAGGCTGCCCATTCACTTAACCTGGATGAGGGTATTTTGAAAGCCCGCGTTGTTCTTCCTGGTCTCAACTAACCAAAATAATCTGCAGATCCACCCCCAATTCTTCCCCCACCCCCAAATCCTCCCAAATTAGAATGGCAGGTGTTTATTCTAAAAAAATCTCACATTACACCAATATAAACAACTGAACCAGATGCAGGATAACAAACAAAGGCAGGCTCAGGAGGGTGCAATGGCAAAGATGCACCCCCACTTCCACAGTGTAGATCATATGTTGGTAGCTCCAGTTCCCCATGCCCCAATTGCCTGGGTCCCTGCAAAGTCTCAGGCACAGCTGGAGCCCCCGGCTGGTGTGGGACACCCAGAGGGACCAAATAGTGAGCAGGTGAGGAAGATGGGGATCCACACTGTTGCCACTGCCACCAACTGACTCAGGACCACTCTTGCCCCAATCCAGTTGGAGGCTGCAAGCAGCCATTGTGCAGGGTGCTGGGGCTCAGTGGCAGCAGTAGGTGGGTCCCTGCCCTTTACCGTTTCCCCTGCAGGCCCAGGGGCTCCAGTTGCAGAGGGCAGCTGTGCAGGGTGCTGGCCTTAGCTGGGAACAAGTAGCAGTAGCCAGCAGTCCTCCTTCCAGCACAAGACAGCCAGTGGGATGTGGCACGGAGTGGGAGCACCTGGAATGAGGGACCTTCCTGCCACCACTGTCCTAGGCTGAGCTCAGCATGACACACAGCCCCTCACAGAAGCTGTGGCTGGAGTGGGACAGGAGCAGCTCTGGGGTCCCCCTGACCCTATGTCAGGTGGGGACAGTGGCAGCAGCAAGTGCATCTCCCCTCCCTATGCCTAAAGACAACTCTGGTCCAACCCTGCTGGAGATGGGGAATGGGAAAGGAAGTATCTGTGCTGGGGAGGCGGGGGGAAGAGCAGGAAGGAGTAGGGGGATGGAGGAACGGAGTCTTACCTGCTTCAGGGACTCAAAAAAGTCTGCAGCAGTTGCTGCCCTGGCACAGTCTGTCCACCTCTTTTTTCAAATTCCTGTATCCACCTATAACAACAAAGAATCGGTTTCAGGCTTCTACTTGAGGTATAAGCTTTTGTTAATAATTTCGATGACTATGTTTATTGGATACATTTTGCTTTCTCCAAATTGCCTGCAAACAGATTGCTGGGGTTTTCTTTTTTTCAAATGTAATCCTTATTCAAAACCATTTCCTGATAATTTTGGTAGTTAGTACTTGGTCTTAACTTGTGAACAGATAGCCTATTGCAAGTATCTGATGTGCCAGTCTGAGCTGTTTAAACTGGATACCTAGGTCAAATGCCATGTTTCTGTTCCATGAGTGAATAATCAGTAAAGTAATTATGAATGTCAGCATTGCTGTGATGGAACAAGCTGTTTCTAGAAATCAGATGCCTCAGAAAAAGGAACCCTGCTCTGTAACAACAGATTTCGTCTCCCTCTATTCACAATAACACAACAAGACTGAACAACAAGAAAAACAAAACTGGGATGTAGATCTCTGAAGACTCATTTTCACTAGGACACCACAGTCAAAAACATGGCAGAGTAAATGTAATTCATTGAAAGAGCAAAGAAGAGACAGGCTTGTGTGTCAACTTCACGTTCCCAAAGTTGTTTGCTAAAAGCAGAAATCTGGATCTTTAAAAATGCAAATTTTTTACTTAACCCACACTCTTAGGGAAAAAATACTGCACAAAAAAGAAAACTAGAAGTTAAGCTCTAAATAATTTCTTCTCCTTAAAAAGCTTAA